TGAGTGGTAAGTGATGTTTAAAAAAGTAGTTAGTGGAGTTTCATTGACTAGTACATTTTCGGAATGAGCGGTACAACCAGGATCCGGATTCCCCTCCATCAGAGACTGATGAAGAATATCACAATCTCGTCAACAAGATGGAAGCATAGTGGACCCCACTATCAAATACAGCTGTCTCTTGATCGACTCCAACCTTATCCAAGACACGTGGAGCAACCTGCATTATTAGGCGGAAAGTGATCAGCCATATCCTTTTAGCCGACGCTGCACGACAAATCAGCTCAGCCAAAGCTTATCTATAACAGTCTATCTCTTTGAAAACCGAAGAGGGTAGACAGTGTATATATAATTGTAAAAACTATAGCACATAGAAAATAATTGTAGTCTTTCCTTTAACCATTTTTATCTCTTTGTATTTATTTTATGAAGACCTTTTCTAAAGCCTATGACTAGGCTTAACTAGGGTATTAGAAATTTTTACAACTCTTGGCCGTAAAGTCTTGCCAAGTTAGATATGCATTAAGTGTGGTTTTGTTTGTATTCACCATCTTGTATTCTATATATTGGCTTTTACGCTAACATAATGGAGTGTGTAAATTCTCTCCATATTTGTGCTTCCCCTTTTGTCTCTAATTACTCCATAACTCCACCATAATTCCATAATAAAAATTGTAGTAAGTAAAGTTTAAAAAAGTAGTCAGTGAAATCTCGTTGACTAGAAAGTATGATTTAACGAAATGGTAAGCAAAAAGTTATGAAATAATAAATAAAATCTATTTGAGTAATAGTAAATGTGGTTTATTTGAGTGGTAGTCAAGTCTAATATTTTATTGAGAAGTAAGAGAAATCTCGTAATAAGTCAAGTTTAATGGAATAATAGTAATATCCTTAAGTAGTAAGTGTAGTTTGATTGAATAATAAATCAATTTTAATAGAATAGTAAGTTGGATATCACTAAGCAGTAAGTATGATTTGATTATAATTATCACTTAATGTATACAAATCGCTTTTAAAAAATGGATTTATTATATTTTTAATTTTTATAGTTTGATTTAAATTTAAATTTTATAATTTGATTTAAATTTCAATTTAATCATTGTTGTTTTAAATTGAATTTATCCAGTCAGCCTCATTTGGGAACATGTTATTTTAAGCTTTGTTTGGCATTGGCTACGGTAGCCAACTTTTTTGTGTTGGGACTTTTTTAGTCTCGTTTGGTTTTTATTTTTGAGTTTTTTTGACTTTTATAGAAGAAAAAATTGTAATGATTATGGTTTGGATATGACATTTTGTCTTATTGACTTATATAGTCTATTTTGTCTTTTTGTGCTTTTTTAGCTCCAAAATGAAAACCAAACGAGGACTTAGTTATTTTTTGACTTTTATGAAAAGATGTGCAAAATAGTAGAGAGTGATGTAATAACTTATAGTGATGTGACAACAACATATCAACGGAATGAGTTTTCCATTTGCTACGAATATTTTTAAATTGAAATTATAATTTTGTTTGAGAATAGATTATTTTAGTAACTTTTTATCTTTTTACTAAAATATGTACAGAAAAATAAAAAAAGTGATATGATAATTTATAATATCCTTTTAACTTTTTGATTAAAATACATAGTTGAAGGCTTTTAATGCCCCCTTTTGCATTCATCTTCCCCTCCATTTTTGCAAGTTTGCAACCGTTATTTGTTTCCAAGTGGCTAATGCCGTATATCATCGGCACAAGCAGAAGGTAATAAAATAAATCACTGTAACCAAAAAAAAAAAATTGACAGTAATTTCCTCATAAACCAAAAAGAGAGTTAATTTATTTTTTCATCCCAAATAATCTAAATAAAACAACTTAAAAAAAAACCACACAAATTTTATGAAAACACAACCTTAAATTACAGTAACAATCCACTAAAAGAGAGAAAATTAAGAAAAAATAAAATAGATTGATTTCCTCCTACTTTCTCATCAACTAAAAAAAATATTCATGAAAAACAGGAGGTTTCACTACTTTTCACCGGCTACGTGTTGTTTTACCTGTTGTGACTTGTTTACATTGGATGGACTAGATTGCATAATAACACAATCCAACGGCTAGAAATTTATTAGGTTTGGTACCCAAAAACCGCTTTTCTGAAATCATAGAGAAAAAGGGGTCTTGGATTGGCATCACAACCTTTGCATTTGATAGAAAAGGGAAAAAGGGAGGGGTAAAAAGGCAAAGAAAGGGTGATAGAAATTTTGGGTAAAAGGGGTGCAACCTTTTAATTTGAAAAAATAAAAATGAAGAGAGAAATTAATTTATTATGATTGCATATTAGTTTTTAATATCATATGTATTAGAAGATTGTGTAATATTTATCATGAAGATTTATAACATTTTAAAAAAAAATGCATAATAAAGTATATACGATATGATATACACTGTTAGCATTTTCTATTTTGCATTTAGAGCGGTGACGGAGCTAGAATGTGTCCAGAGGGTCACGTGCCTCCTAAAGTTTCAATAATTATGTTAATATTCCTAAATATATAGATTACACCTTATATATTCTCTACAAAATTAAAATAGCATCCCTTCTTAAAATTGTAATGGTGGCCCCTTATTCAGAATTTTATTTCTAATTATTAAGATCATACTAAAATGGGTCCTTATATTATGCAACCCCCTCCCCCCCCCCCCCCCCCAAAAAAAAATGTACTATATACAAATTATAATTTTGTGGCATTGATATTATAAAGTGTTATAACCAAATTACTTTTAGTTATAACTAAAATGACCACTACAAATTATAACCAAATACCACATCTTCGGTCATAACAAAAAAATAACAATCCCAATAGGTCATAATTAATATTAGAATGAGTCATAATCAAACACCACTTGATGTATAACCAAAGACCTCTTTGGTTCTAACCAAAATAACAATGACAAGAGTTATAACTAACACTACAATGTGTTATAACTAAAAACCACAATGATTATAATTGCAGCATATGATAAACACCTTTTTTGTTGTGTGTTTTATAGAATTTTCCTACTAAAATATATTATTTCTATCCCGACTTGTCTTCTGTTATAATTTTTCAATCCATCTGAAACAGTTACTCTTCAACATCAATTTGTATAAAATTACCAAGAACTTCTTTAAACTAGCATTTTAGAAATTTCCAATAAATTGTCTTTATTTAAACAGTTTAATTCCATGCAATTAGTTGTTTCCTTACAAATGATGAACAACAACTATTGTTTGATGGGAAATTTTATCTATTAAAAATTAATGGGATTTGAAATAGTAAAAAATCTTAGAAAAATGATTAATAGCTTGAATTTGAGTTTGCCCCGAAAGCCAAATTTGTGTTTGTCAATCAACCACCTGAACGACTACTCGGATGACCGGTGCAACACTTGTCTACCGTGGTTGTCACCCTTATCGACTGCAGCTATCACCTTTTTGCCAGATGACTGGTCGAATAAAATTCGGGCAAACTCAAATTCGAGTTACCAATCAGTGTTGAAAATCTTATTAATGAAGTATAAGTTTACAAAATGAGACTTGTGTGTAAATGCCCATAATTTATATACGGAGTGTTTTGGGAAGATGGTTAAAGCTAGTTTTTTGACTTTTTTATGTAAGAGGTGATGTAATCCAAAATGGGTTAAAAATTGACTTTTAACTTTTTTATGATGTTCCCAAATGGCCCCTATATATTGGGGTGAGTGTCTTGTTTTTCAGAAACAATAAGCATATTATTGTATTGGAGCAAGCTCCTCTCTAGTTAGATTTTTCAATTGGAATGCGCTATTGGACCTTCATGGGCCCACTACGGAGTTCGTATAGATAATTGAGCCATTCACTATGTAGGGCTTGTCGTGCACTTCATCTCTATAAAAAATCACGTTGATCGGATATCAATAGATACTTGATCTGATCTCATTTGTGTCAACAATTCATTTTTAAAATTATATTTACCGTTGACATAAACATGATCTGATCAAGTGTATATTGATATCCAATCAACGTAATTTTTTACAATAATGAAATCATCGACGAGTTCTATTTATTGAATAGTTCAAATTATCAATACGAACTTTGTAGTGAGCCCATGAAGATCAAGTAGTACTTCTCAATCCGATTTAGATGGGAGACAACCCTGCTTCTATTTTATTTAATAAAAAATTTGATAATTATAATATTTTTATGATGTCAAAATCTAAATTTGACATGGTCAATGCCATGTAACCTAGAGGGGATGATTGAATGAAAAATACTTTAGATCACTAATTAGTGGTAGTTCTAATGATGTGGCAGTGAGCTCCACCCACTGCCACAGTGTTATTGTACATTTTTTTTCTTTCAAGATTGCCACGTTAGTAGAGCTCTTGTTAGAGCATCAGCATCAGTATCAATATCTTCAAAATAACAAAAATTTAAAATATAGCTAATAAATTATCAAATTCTTCCTCTATTAGTCTCAACAAATTTTTTCTAAATTAACTTTTTGTTAAATTTACTACAGTAACTCTTCTGATGAAACGAGCAACTGTTCATAGTTAAAACACGCGATTTGGGTGTAATCGGACATCTGCCCAAAACTTCGGCCGGTCAACTACTCAACGGAAATATTTTTTGTTTCTTTTACATTTCCTTCAGTTTTACCTTTTATAAAACATAAGAATTGTTTAATTAATAGCTCATCAATTTAATTATAAAAAAAATAACAAATATTTTAATAAAATTAAGTTAAAATAAAAAATTTGATGACTAGTTAAAATAAAAAATGACTTTTTAAATTATAATTTGATTAAAATTTTGAAGAGATACCGATGCTGTCAGAGCTCTACTATCAAAGGTCCCACCACTGCCGTTCTATTATTATTGTATTGTACTTTGGTAATAAATGCATATTATTGTATTATTTTGTCTACTATTGTATGATTTCCGTCATTTTCTGTCAAATTCAACGGACTGAGTATTTAAGAACATTGGCCAAGTGCTCACAGCCAATTGGTTCACCCAACAGTTTTTCAGATTAAACGCATCTTTCTTTACTAGTCATATTTCAATTCTTCATATCATCACCACGTCAATTATATATATATATATAGCTTGTGATGGATATGGAGTTGTTCTATATCTATCCCGAGAAAAAGGCTTAGTGGGTACTCTATATGTTGCGTGAGAAAGTAGTGTTTTTTGTATTGTGAGGCCTCACTCTGTCAAAGATCAATCAGGGAGACGGAAATGAGGTTTCTGCGATTGGGTTTCTGAGTATTTTATCTCTTCTTTCAACTGGGTATTTGCTAGTTTTTGAAAATTTTGGAGAGAGAGAGAGAGAGAAAAATGGTGGCCTTTAATGGATTCTGGACAAAGAAGACATTGGTGGGTCTTGGGTTGGGGCAATTTCTTTCTCTTCTGATCACTTCCACTGGCTTTTCGTCCTCCGAACTGGCCAGAAGAGGTATGTCTCTTCTTTGTTCAATTTGGGTAAATTTCACTTTGCTCCCTGGTTTGTCCATGTCTGGATTATTTCATCTTATTTGGTAATAGCCACACAGCCCCTTTATAATTTGTGGACTGAGGTGCACATTTAGCTCCGATTATTATTTAATGAAAAAGACTGAAGCTACAAATATTTTCGATAGTTGAAAATGAGCATATAACCTAGACGTGTTTTTGAAGTGAAATTTGCCCTTCAATTTAACACCTACTAGTTGCATATCTAGTTATTTATTTATTGATTTATTGTACTTTAGTTTGGTTTTTTGCACATATTGCTTATCCTGGTTTTATATGGAGACCATTTGTTTATCTATCTATTCCAACACCTCAGTTAGTTTTTCCAAGAATGCCCTTCTCATGTTAGAATGATTTTTCTTATTCATCAAACTATTCAAAACTGATGTCAGTTTTTCTCAATTATCAAACTATTCAAAAAATTAAACATAAAATTGCAAACGCATTGAGTTTGCACCCACGGCTAGTTCTTATTATGTGAATTGCAAGTGCACATTTTCTCTTCCATTATTTGAAGTTATGAGTTCACCTTTTTGTTAAATATTATATTCTAACTGTTTATAGGTATTGAGAATTACAAATGTTAGTTTTTGTTACATCATATCTCAATTCCCTTTTTTCTCCATTTTTAACTTCTTATTTATTTGTTCAGGAGATGAGTTATTGGATGGTTTTTTCTAATTTGACTTGTGTATACTTTTGTGTATTATAGGCATTAATGCACCGACATCGCAGTCTTTTCTAAATTATGTGCTCCTATTTTTAGTGTATGGAGGCACTTTACTATATCGAAGGAAAGCTCTCAAGGTTAGTTCTCTGTTATTCAGACAAATGCTTGAATTTTTTATGGAGCAAAATAGTGGTTGAAATCAATGAAGTTTTGTACAGTCATGACTTTTCAAGAATAGATTCGAGTTCCTGCCGTAAACGAAAGAGGAAACAAGAATTGGAGGCGTGTTTGGATGGTAACTCTTTTTCTCCACACCACTTTCTTTTATTTCACACACCATTTTTAGTTTGGATATCAATTTCCAAACAAAATGACATAGTTCAGAAATCAATTTCTGAATGAAAATCTATGGTTCGGAAATCAACTTCAGAACGAAAGATATAGCCAAGCCATAGGTTTTTGTTTTAAAGTCGATTTCCGAACCATGTTGTTTGGTTTGAAAGTTGATGTCCAAACCAAAAAAATGTGTGAACTGAAAGAAAGTGGTGTGTGGAAAAACAAGCTCCCATACTTGAGAAAGTTGCTCCAAAAGGAGAGTGTATGTAGGTTGGGCATGTTTTTTGGGTGGGTGGTCTGCTGGAGCATGCAACTGCTGACTGTTGCCATGGGATGAGAAAGAAAGGGAGAAGAAGAAGTCAAGAGGAAAAAGAGAGAAAAATGAAAGAAAATGGGTTGAGAAGGAGCCTGGTTCATGATGGCATAAATAAGAAAATTAGAGAAAAGAGTAAAGACTTTTTGCAAAATTTATTAATGGAGTTGGACTTTACATTTCATTCCATACTACATGAGGGTTACGTGTATATTTTTAGACCATAAGGAGAAGTGTCTTGAGTTAAACCACAAGGAGGTAAAGTGTAATTAACCCTTTATTATATGACATATATAAAGATAAACAATTATATGTGATATACATGAATATTTAAGTCAAAGACCTAATTCTATCTTTATGATATGAAGATAAATATATTAAAATAGGCTCAGAATGAGTATGATAGAAATAAGATTGAATACCATGTGTGTGTTCAATTCATCCTTTTCAGTTGAGAGAAATTCCTAATTTTGTAAGATTTGATGAGAACCATGAGGGGAACAAGATTGGAATGCAATGTTCTTATGTCTTAAGTTCAGGAAATCCCTAAGCTTTGTACATTGCTTTACTTTCGTATGTCTCAAATGAAATGTTTTTACATCATTGTTTGTTGTTATACAACATGATATGATATGTTTTGCAAGTCTATGGATGCATAATGTTTGAAATGATATTTGAGAAGCTATGCTACTACCCTCGAAAGTCATATAATGCGAGGGACTCTGAACTTACTGGTTTATGATTGTGATAATGATTTTGGATGTTCACTATCACAATGTGACATTTGCATTTGTATTTCGGGATCTCATTATGAAGTGAAGTCCCACATCGCCAGAGTACTAAAGTAATATGCAGTATAAAAGCGTGAGGGCACCCTCACCTTAATAGCTACCCAAGACCATGTAACACTCACTTCATTTCAGGCACCATCATAGTGTGAGAGCCATGTGGGACCAAATTGTGAGGTCTTATTGCTCCCAGACCTGGCGGGTGCTAGGTCGAGCTTGTTCATCGTGGTCCTTATGTACAGACTTGCCATTATTCTCCTTATGTGCTATGCTGATTACTGAGGATTTTAAGTAATTTAAGACATGAAATTATACCACATGCTTACTTTTATGCTTTGATTTAAATGCTAATCATAGTATAAATAGATGCTCAAATTTGCACTGTTAAAGCTATATTCTATTTCGAAGGATTTGTACCATCTTTGGTGCAAAATTGCTTTTATTCATTATAATTATAGCATTTGAATCACATTTGCTTCTGCTATATTTATGTCAAAATGTTCAAAATTAACAAGTGCACAACACTTCAGTTCAGTTAGGCCTTCAGTAGCTATGCTACTGGCTGGTCATGCATCCTGATCTTACAGCCAATATCTTCATGGGGTAGAGTTTATGTAATTTTTAGTTCTTGAATGAATTATGTGCTGCTGCTATTCCACTGTCAAATGATTGCCGAGTTAGAATCCTTCTCTTATGGTTACATTCATGCTTCATTTTTGGATTCTATGCAGGCAAAATTTTATTACTACATACTTCTTGCAATAGTAGATGTAGAAGCAAATTTTCTTGGTAAGTGCATCTACAAAAAGTTTCTTTGCTGTCTCACTTCTTTTGATATCAAGATATTTAATTTTGTTAGGTTGCATTACATAGGAAACACATGCATTTGCATTTTCGATTTCCAGTCACTGGTTACAACTCTTGCTGGACCAATCTCCCTCTGAAAGAATGCTGTGAACTTATCAGTATCATTACTTCTTTTGCAATATAAATGGTACTACTCACGGTTATATTTTCGGAAATTTTAACGTAATAGGCAATATATAAATATTTGTGTAATCAATGTAGTGCAAAATTAAGTAATGTTTTACAAAGAATTTCTAGTGGCTCCCTAATAATTTATTACCTGTGGATACTCTGTTGTGGTGTTCCAGCTGATGATGTTTTTCTCTTTCTTTCTTTTATTTCTTGCTTCTTTTTTTTTTTTTTGATTAGAAATTTCAGATGGTGAAGTTATGCCTTCATATGGTAACATTTTTAAGGAAGAACAAAGTTGACTTTTACTGTTCATTCTCTTATGATTCCTGGTCTCAGTCATTTTCTTTAAAACAGAAGTTAAGTGGAAAGTGAGACTTCATGAAAGAGCCTTTGGCTGTGAATGGGGAGTGTGCCATCATTCTATTCAACTCATGCATAAAGTTGGTGATACTTGCTTTTCCTTTCTCTTGTCCTCTCTTTAGACAAACCCCAACACATGTGCCTCTCCCTCCCCCCAGGTCCACTTCTCAAAATATAAAAATCAAATGAAGCAAAGAAATTTAGCAAAATCATAAGTTTAATTAGTAGTAATGTTTCGCAATGCTTGTAGATAATATGCATGTATATTCTTCAATGAAGGTAATAACATCCTATGACTATATTCTGCAAATAACAATGGTCCTTGGATCTTTCACACCTATCTTTCCTCCTTTCAAGGGAAGCTTGGGTTTCATTAGTGGCTGTCTATTCTCGGTTATTTTGGTAATTTTATCATTTGTTGGAATGAACTGGATGGGAGCTTCTATTCACACCACAAAAATTCTCAATTCACACCATTTTGTTGTTCGGATATCAACTTTTGAACAAAAATTAATTATTTGGATCTTAGTTGCATGAAGCGGGGACTGAGATGGGGGTGTGCATATATTTTATTTACTAAATATATAAAATATTTTAACAACCATTTTTTTTTTTCTTTTTTTTTTTTTTCTGCTTAGTTGTAATATGTGTTAAAATTTGAATTATTATTGGAGATTGATGTCGGTCAACTACAAATTGTCTTTATAAAGTATAAATAAATATTACGTAAATAAGAAGTACTAAAATAAAAATAAATTTGAGTTATTTTTCTTTTGTTTCTTTGAGATTTGTATGCCTGAGAGGTTCTATCTCAGTTGGGAGCGAATTTCTTTCTCGACGGGAGCAAGTTTCTTACTTGGGAGAGCGGAATTGCGTTTCTTAGTAAGTAACGTCACCCAAGTAGAATTTCCTACTACTAAGGTTTGGATATCAACTTCCGAACGGAAGTTGATATCCGAACAATTAATTTTTGTTCGAAAGTTTATGTCTGAATTGAAAAAATTGTGAAATTATGGTGTGTAAATAGAATCTCCTGAGCTGTAGGGTTGCCTATGGGTCCTTTTACGTGTCAAATTTTGTTGTTGGGTCTTTCATGGAGTCTTCATTAGGTCTAGAATATTCTAGTCAGTCAAAAGTTTCTCAACTTCTAATTATGGAATCATAGTCCTTATAAAATTAAAAAAGTCTAGCAGCTTGTAAATAGGCTTGTGATCTTTCTTTTCAGGATGTAGTTGATATTATGAGAATGTGGGATTACATTTGTGTCAATGCCTAAACTCTTCCCTCTCTTCTTCTTCTTCTTCTTCTTCTTCTTCTTCTTCTTCTTTGTGCGAATAACCCAAACACTATTCTCGGGTTACTGATTACAACCATCAAAATGTGCACTTTTCAGCCCCAAAACCTTATCCGATCACACAAAAGTAAACTTTTAATCCATTCTCCTACCTATTGGACTTCTATTTAGCCATTAAGACCATAAATTACTCATTGTGTAGGCCCTTAATAGCTTTTGTTTTGAAAATCCAGCAAGCTGCCACTTTTAAAATCAAATAAAAATCACACCTATTCATCTCTTAACCCCATAAATCTTCATCTCTCTCTTACAACTAAAATCCACTACAATACCTATTATAGGCTGTAATTAAGTTTCTTAAAGTTGTCCTGTAATTAATCTAACAATGGTCATGATCTATCAAAAAAAATAAAAAAATATCCAATACTGGTCATTTCAATTTTCATTTTTCCTCAATAAGAAAAGATTTGAAAACAATGAAAATCTTAAATTTATTAGAGAAAATGCTCTAGTTTTCCATTCTCATATAAGGCTAAATAGTTTATTATTGGCAATAGGTCTGCACAGAGTGATTCATCATGCTCAAGCATAACTCGATCCTATGAAGCATCGACATGTCTCCCAAGGTTGTGTATCAGAGTCCAACACGTGTTGGACATCGGCACGCGTCAGACACGCAGTCTTGTTTGTCCTCTTTTTTTTCTTTTCCTTTTTATCTGAGCCACGTCCGGACACTTCATCGACACGTCAGGAACTTTTCAAAACAGCCTGAGAGAGAGAGGAGATAGAAGAGAGAGAAGTCCCTTTGTTCAGGCGACATGTTTGAGACAAGATCCATTGGGGACTATTCAAAGCCCCAACTACAACACATGGATGAGAGAGAGAGAGAAGAAAACCAAGCTTCCATTGCGATGAAAGCAGAAGCATCATGCTACAACACGGAGAAAAGAGAGAGAGAGAGAGACCAAGCTTCCTTTTGTAATTAGAGCAAAAGCCTCCTTTTGTAACCAATGTTTGTTTACTCGTTTTGTCTTCCAAGAAAAGGGTGTACTACTCATGAAAGTTGCCACCTACCAGCTAATAAAGCTTTCAACTTTTCACCTACCAGTCAAAATATCAAAACAAGTAGCATCTATCAACCAATTAAATGGTCAAAGTAGCTATCTCAAATGTGTATATTTGTATTTTTTTTATATTGATGATTGTGTGCCATGTGAGTGAGAGTGATTTTGTAATGTTTAAATTTTTAGTTAATGTTAAATTATATTTTTTTTCATCATTTTAAATAAATATTTATATATGTGAGGTATATTATATCAATAAATATTTATTTTTAATGTGTCCTTAGCGTGTCGTGGCCCTTATTCTCAATGCTACTTATTATCCCATCTAGGGTCCCAGTCATCTCTGTTAGAATAATATATTATTGTTTGGGTTCTTATTTTGTAATTATTCTATGCCTTAGGGCTTCCTTGTAATTATTGATCTTCATTAATATAAATAGGGGATGATATCCTAATCATTCCCTAATCTGATATTCTCTAAATTTATCATGGTATCAGAGCCTAACCCTAAAACCTAAACCCATCTACCCATGCTGTTCCTATTATCCACCGGAGCCACCACTCACCACCAGGAGCCACCAGCCACCATCGGAGATAGTTCCTCTCTCTGTCGGCTCAAGCCGACTCCACCCTGAAGGGCTTCGGCTCAAGCTGAGAAGGGGGTGGGTTGATGACTGTCTAGGGTTTTGACTCACCCTTGTTGGTCGAAGTCAGCAACGAAAGCCCTTAGGGTTCGAAACTTACCTGGGTTGGTCGTCTGCTCTTGTCATCTGCTCCGCTGGCTGCCCTTGGTAGTCCCTCTGCCTCAGTCGACTTCCCCGATGCAATCATCTCTTGATCCTGCTCAATTGTCTCTCGTCCTTTGAAAGTATTCACTTCGTAGGTGTATCTCTTTACTCTTGAAACAAAACCCAAACCCGAACCAGTGTATTTATTTACTCTTGAAACAGTTCTCTAAAAAAAAAAAGGGGGGGGGGGAAATTATGGGTTGTTAAATCTTTATATTGTCATAGTGGTTGTTTGTTTTTTCCCTTCCACCACCTCCTTCCGAGTTTGTGATTGGCACTAGTTTTGTTGAGAGTTCAGTAGTACAGTATCTATGGCAGATTCCACAGGTGTGTCGACACCTAAGTGTGAGAGTTCCATTATACCTACTACTATGACTGATAACCCTAACCCTAGTATTAAAATCACCACCTCTCCATTTAATGGTCAGAACTATCTAGCGTGGTCGCAGAGTTTGACTATGTTTTTGAAGAGCAGAGGGAAGATGGGGTATGTTGATTGCAGGATACAGACACCCAGCACCACTGACCCGGGTTATGACCAATGGAAGATTACCAACTCTTTAATTATGGGTTGGCTTATTTATTCGATGGTACCAAACATTGGCGAGGGCTATTTGTCTATGGAGACTGCCCAGGATGTTTGGGATGCTGTGGCCGCTACCTATTCCCGCAAAGGGAATTTCTCCCAAGCATTTGAGTTACGCCGCTCTATTGAGAGCTCTGTTCAAGAGGAGCAGCCAATTCTTCAGTACTTCACCTTCCTCACCAACGGCTGGAAACGCCTTGATCACTTGCAGGATTATAAGCCTGTTTGCACAGCTGATTCAGTCGGATACAAGAAGTTTATTGCACAGGAAAGGGTCTTCAAGTTTTTGGCAGGGCTCAATGTGGAGTATGATCCGGTTCGGAGTCGGGTTCTGAGTATGGACACTCTTCTTTCACTTCAGGAGGCATTTGCCTATGTACAGAATGAGGAGAGTTGCCGGTCTGCTATGATGTCCCCTATCTCTACTGACTGCTCTGCATTACTGTCTACTCCTAGAGATGGCAGGAAAGGGTCTTCAAGTTTTTGGCAGGGCTCAATGTGGAGTATGATCCGGTTCGGAGTCGGGTTCTGAGTATGGACACTCTTCCTTCACTTCAGGAGGCATTTGCCTATGTACAGAATGAGGAGAGTCGCCGGTCTGCTATGATGTCCCCTATTTCTACTGACCGCTCCGCATTACTGTCTACTCCTAGAGATGGCCCTAGCCTGACTCCCATCCCTCCGTCTGCAGCCAAGAAATCTGTATTCTGTGATTACTG